GTGGATTTCCCCACCTATCATGTAAACATGATCAAGATAAAATAAGAAATTATATAGACTATAGACAGGCAGGTTACCTCACCAATCTGGGGTCCCCCACCCTCATGTAAACAGGTCCTAATTCACAATATATCTATAGGTAAGTTTATGATGAAGCATTCTAGTCATCAATTTGGTGACTAATTTTCAGGATTTGGTTGCCGAAGTGAAGAATTTAGTCAAATTGGTGCCTGTACTAGGTGCAATTTCACGCCCTGCAAAGTGCAATATATTAAAAGCTAGTCAAACAAAATTGGAATATTTAAGAATCTGTCAAAGTTGTTTCTCATGATTACAAAAATTAAGCTTATAACAAAATTCTTAACATGACTGGTTATAACCAGCCTGATCCAATCACCAATAGGGCAGTATAATCATCACGCTCAAATTGGACAATATATGCATCATGGACTGTATTCTGTGTACACGCTTTTGTTGCATATTTCTCCAAGTTTAATATTGGTTTTTGTGAAAATGTACAACCAAAGGTTAGTTTATTTCCCAAATTTTATCAAATTATTGATTAATTGGTATTACAGTACTTCCTGTAGTCCAATTCTGCCTGTAATCAGACTCATAATAATTAATTATTAACAAATCAGACTCCTGCTTCACAATCATCCAAATAATATTTTGTCACTCACTTGGATGATTACAGACTGGATGGGACTCCACTCAGTCCTACAACCATTACTAATTGAATATTTAACTGCTAACTCGTGATGGAGACGGAGAGGCAATGAATTCTGTATTTTGAGAATTTGGAAAGAAATACCCATATGTAGACTATTTAGCAGAAAGATTCAAAGCAAAAAAGCTAAGGCCTAGGCTTGAAGGAATGGTCCAAATTCAAGTAGTAGCCCATAAGCTTTATGGGCACTAACGAGTTGCTCGCGTTGAACATGTTTTTTTTCATCGCCATTGGAGACACACTACCATGAGGTCGTCACGATTATTAAATTCTTAGTTACATTACTTTACTACTTCTCCACGATCATAATACGAGTATTAACCTTTAACTACATTTCTATGAGGACCAAAGACAGAGCTCTAGCTCCCCCCAAAAAATATTACCCGAGCTATTCTAAAAGGGATCTGAAGGTAACACAAAATCCTTGATCGAAGGTTGATTCATCAATTGAAAACAAACTGGGAAATACGAAAACAAACGATACAAGCTGTATTATTCTTACGCTATTAATACTAAAAGAAAACCTATAAATTACCTCTGACTCCTGATTTACATCAGACATTTGGAAGGTACAAGACGATCCTAGCGATTTTACACTTAGCTGAGCTGAACTCCTCAATTCGTGCAAAATCGCTACTGTGGAGAGTGGATGAAATGTTCCATATTTGGTCAACATAAAGTACCAGTCTCCCACTCGTCTGCTACTTCGGAGTAATTTTTGTTTTCTATTTTGTTCACTTTTCATTCCCGTTTATTCGTAAGTCTGTTGGCACTAAAATCGTGGCTTGGTATTCTGGCGAAATCTCTCCAGTTTTATCTCATCAAATACTGATATCCGAGACAAAAGCTCGATAACTGGTGATGGATGTGAAACTTACAACCAGGCGCTCTTTAGCGGGGAGCGCGGAATTCTAGGAAAAAAGAACTCCTAATCGCAGGTTAGCCGATGGGGTGCTGGTTCTATGAGCTTAAAATGGGATGAATCAAAATCTTGTCATTTAACTACTTAGGTGTTAACGTAAAAAAAGAGCATTTCGGTTGTGTATATGCCGAAAAATTTCAAAATGGTGTTATTTGCTTTAAATTACGACTGTAATGGAAATTTCAACCTTTGTCGGTAAACTTTGCATCAACATACTAGAAAAAATGGGGCCTTTTTTCATGACCTTCTCACCTTCTCTTCTCACCTTCTCCTCCCATCCACCATTAATTCCTCAGAAGGGGGCATCAAGGCCACATAGATACTGGAAAACCGGCCGAAATTTCATCAACATCGAAAAATCATTGAAAAAAATGACCAAGCCGAGGTCGTAACGAGAGCCTGCCTCGAACCAGTAAACAAGAGCAAACCAGGCAAACAACTGAACAACAAGAGCTAAAAAGCTCAGCTTTTAGTTTAAAAACCGTTATAATGAAGGGGAAATCGAAACATAAACAGAATACACAAACAGAAAAACCGAAAAATGGGAGCAAAAACCGTGAAAGACTTCGGAAAACCGAGGTCGCTTCGTCGGGTTGTATGCAATATACTTGGATTAATAATGGCGAGGCAACTTCCAAATTATGAAAAAATTACATTTGGCAACTTGGACTTACTTTTGAATAAGCTTGACAAACTGTACAATGGTATGAAAACTTTTCATGAATTTATTTTTTCTCAGGGGGCACGGTAACGAATCCTGCAATCTGATTGGTGTGAAAAGAGTTCCGTTAAGTTAAAGAAAAAAAAATTTAAAATATTATTCACCAACCTGGTCGGTCCGTATTGGGGAAAACTGTGCCCTCTGCCTTCAATACCACCATCGGCCTACGACCTTGGGCGGTACTCAAGTCCTAGGGCACAGTTTTTCCTAGTACGGACCTCCCGAATAACATATACATCTTTACTCAGAACTATTACTATCTATCATCTGATCAAGGGAGCTGTAGGCCGCAAGACCAACATATTAGCTGTGGTTTCCTAATATCGCTCTGACGAAGGGCTAATGCTCGAAACGTCAGCTTTTTTACTCTTTACGGTAGCCAATTTACGTTTTCAACTCAGTTGTTAACACTAAATTACCTCCTATGCTCTCCCACCGACGCAGCACCACAGTTTCTTTTAGAAACTTATCCCCTTTATTCTGGTGTCAGTTCGTCGCGATGTGGCTTTTCGCACCGGCAAAAAAGGGAAGATAAAAAAAGAAAGTAAAGAGAAACAAAGACAGAAAGAATATGTTTATAAAACAGAAGAAAAGGATAAAACAGCCTTAGAAACTTTTAGTGGTGACCAATTTACATTGTCAACCTCAGTTGATAAAACCAAGTTATCTTGTTGAACCCCCCCCCCCCCCCCAATCACCGACGCAGCACAACAGTCTCTTTACATCTTTACCCCTATACCCAGAACAAAAGAATATTCGATTTCGGAATCATGTCTATTTTTAGAGGCTGATATGAACGAAACATTCTTGGTGCTGGCGTATGTGGTCACGAGCTTTTGCAGCAAGATCTAATCACATGACGTCTCACACGACGAGCATATTGCTTTCGCTTTCGGCTCCTAGGTAACGTTACATAAATGGTAAAATGTTAAAAATATATGAACAAAAAGGTCACTAAAACCACGAAGAACAATCGGAATGACTTGGACTGTGATTGATCTGCATGCGAAGATTTGAAAATCGCTGCGAAAGTAGCGGGAGAGATTGGAGTGGAAACCGAAATATGTTAATTAGTAAGTTCCCAGGAAATACAGCTGTCCATCATTCGTTACTTTAATGTCTCTCAGCAAAAATTGCCATTATTTTAATGATTTAAATGGTTATGAAGTATTAATTATTTACACATTCTACAGAAAAAAGGAAATTACCTTGTCTGCACGAAACTGCAGGAATAATTATCGATACGCTTATCTAAATTTACTTCCGAGAAAATGGTGGAAACATCCATGTTATGAAAAATTAAATTACGTTTGGCAAGAGTTCAACATGGCATCACTTTTGAAAAAACTCGAATAACTATCCAATGATATATGATCATTTTAGTTAATATTTATAATCAAAATATTGCTATCTTTCACGATCGAGGGAAACGCTAAAAGAGCTGTAGGCCGCAAAATCCATTCATTAGGTTTGGTTAAATTAGGGAAACCCAATATTATCTTTCCCGTACGTAAAATGTGGTTTTCCAACCACCTTACATCACCTGCCCTATCAACAAACGTTTCAAAAGTTCACTTTCTTCTTGTCGTTGCTGGACGACAATTAAACTCGGCTGGTCCGTTTTAGACAACTTTATTCACGGGTTTTACACTCACAACAACACCGCTTTTTTCCGCTCACGTTACTACAAACTCAACTTATCTCATCTCACACACGCACACGCGGCCCCTAGCAACGAGCTGCTACGCGGCTAGAAATGAAAGTACACGAAGCGGGAGGGACACTTCTCTTAGAGAAAAAAGCGCCTTTCTTTAAAAGTTATTAGTGTTCTGTACATCAGCGTGAGTTTTCAAAACAAATAATGTGTCACCTGGCTCCCACTGGTGGGAAGTATTTTTCAAGCCCAAGAAACCGGTACTAAACCGTTTTCAAAATATCATTTAACAACGAAAAAGGCACGCCATCGAAACTGCTTTGTGGAAAACTCTGGCGACCAGATGTTCCATGATCGGTTTATTTTAAGGAAGAAACAGTTTGCGTTGTAAACAAGAAGTCTTTAAAAGCAATGCCACCTTTATCGCACAAAGAATACAGCAGGGCGGAGGGATTATCTTTGAGCTTGCTGTGTAGGGAAATAAGACAAATTTAAATCTAAGCTATGCGCGTAAACTCCTTTTCTAGAGTTCTATTGGGGTGCCCTGAAGACACGATAACAATTCAGTTAGCCGACGTATAATTTACTCATTATTCATTGTCACCTTTTCTTATTCACAAAAATAGAAAGTTCCTCATCCTCCAAAAAGAGCTTCACATAAAACGACGACAACGTTCGCCTACAGTTTCTTCAGACACTATGTAAAGAGGCATGTCTGATATGCAGTACAAAACCTTTACTTTAAACTGGATTGAGAACCCGCTAATATCGCCTTTTCACAGCTGGAAAACTTTGTTTGATATTGCATTGTCAAATAATCAAAGCCAATTTAAAATTCATATTTAGGTGGTGCTTACAGCCGAAAGCCAATCGGCGTGAAATATAACTGGTGTAATTTACAATTTTCGATTAAGGAGATGAAGGGGTTATTGATTTTTTTATGGCGGGGTCTTTTAAGTCAGATATTGTTCTACCTTCCAAACAAAACTTGAAATAACAAAAGGTTTCCTTTTGACTTGTAAAAATCTTAAACTATTTCGAGGTCGCTTTCTAGGAAACATGATCAGCAAACACCTTCAAAATCCTTAAAAAGATGAAGGAAGAAAAAAGCGCAAGAAACAATCAAAGTTTTGGAAAACGTTAATCAGTATTCAAAAGGGAAACCTATCAATTTTACGTCAGATTATTTACTCAGATGATAGTGTTGGTGTCGTCATGAATATTCACTTTTCCACGTGCTTTAGTTTTCATTCGCACGTTTGAGCTAGTCAGGGCTATTATTGTTCCATTAGCCTTCACCCTGAGGCGACCACGTTGGATATTCTGGTGGTATCAATAGCGGAAAGGGTCTTGTCTTTTTGCTTCGTTTAACAGTTTGGGAACTGGCTGAGGGGCAATGGCGATAAAGGTGTCTGTTACTGGTTTGTTTTGTTTCTGCTTTCCAATAGTTCTTGCATCAGCGTCTCTGGCGGCCGATGTCGACCTATGTGGTGTCGGTAAAATTGAAGGTAAAAATTTAACCCTGGCGTTGAACTTCACCGAAGAGAATGCCATGAAAAACGGCGGAGAATGTAGCCGTGTTGTATTTCTAGAATCAGCGCGGGTAAAACTTGTGGTCGAGCAATTGAACCTCGCTAATGGAGCGGTCTTCGAAATATACGACGGCCCAAGCCCTGAAAAAGGCCAACTTCTCGGTTTAAAAGCGGACACTGGGTTGCCACTGACGTACATTACCACGAGTAACGCTTTGTTCATTAAGTTCAGAGATAGCCAAAAAAAGGAAGGGCCTTCGAGTTTTCGCGGGAAAGTCGCTCCGGAACCTTATCAGCATATGTGTCGCTGTCGGTCTGTAGATAATGGAACTCTAGAGTGTTCTGAGAGTGATCGCGAAAGAAGTTGTAAAGTAAAGTGTCAACCATCATATATGGACTTGTCAATAAGTAAAGAAGTGAAGTGCGATCTCGTGAAAGGAGAATGGGATATTGATATTCATAACATGCACATCGCTTGTCAGAAGGTGCAAAGCCCATTACAAATCAAAGCGCTGTTGCAGTTCGATTACGTTAACGCAACTTGTAAAGATGCTGACTCGGAAAAAATAAAAAGTGCCTTCAGGGTGTCCATGGAACAAAACAATGACGTAAAAACCAAGGGTGTGTGTTTTGCTCCTAGTGGTGATGAAAATGTGGATTGCAAGGGGAAGAAAGTTCAAGTGAACTGCACTGGTGACAAGCCAGCCAGAATGATAATAACAATTACAGACCGTGTAACAAAACCTCCAACTTTAAAGGAAGCCAATGTGAAACTTCAAGAGCTGATCACAGCATACAAAAACTTGAACCTTGATAATGTTTTGAACTCCAAAGATTTAGTCATGAATAATGGAAGTGACTCATTCACTCCAGATAAGGCATCAGCTTCTATAAAGGTAACACCTCTATGTGATAATCTACAACACTATATTAAGGTCCCTGGTAATGATACATCTTTTGTCTGTTCCACCTGCCCACTGCACCATGCCTATAACACGTCTACCCACATGTGTGAGGAATGTCCCTCCGGAAGTAGAGCATCTTCTGGTGCAATCTCCTGCACAAAGAGTGACGGCACCATGAAGATGACCCCAAATAAGACTGCATGCAATAGTGCGTGCATGAAGGGAAGACATGTGGATTCGAACTCTAAGATGTGTGAATGGTGTCCACAGGATACTTACCAGAACTCTTCAACAAGGCTTAACCCCACATGTATGCCTTGTCCTGATCAAAAGAAGACCAGCTTTCCAGGAGCACAGAGTGTAGGGGAATGTCGTGACCCTTGTTCATCAGGTTCCTTCCACAACACATCTAGTGGTGCTTGTCAGAGTTGCGCTATCGGTTTTTACATTGATGTTGACAATCATGCACTCACCAAGTGCAAGACCTGTAGTGTGGGTAAGACAACCAGAGCAACTGGCAGCAAAGACAGCAGTGACTGTTACACAAGGTGCCCACCAGGCCAGTTTTACAACTCAGATTCAAAACAGTGTACTCCTTGTGGAAAAGGTAAATATCAAGACAAGATGGGCAAAGACACTTGCATGGATTGTCCTATGAACAAAACAACTCTGAATCCAGGATCAAAAAGTTCTGCTGAATGCATTATGTTATGTGGACCAGGACAATTTCTTATGGAATCTAATGGAAAGTGTGATGATTGTCCAATGAATACATACCAGGATATTAATCGGCATCAAAACAAGACGTGCAAGTCCTGCGGACCAGACAAAATCACAAATGCAACAGGGAAATCTAGCATTTCTCAGTGCTTTGAGAAGTGTAGCAAGGGCCAGTTCTTAAACAAGTCTTCCACCAAGTGTAAAAGGTGTCCTGCAGGAGAGTACCAAGATCAGCTGGGTCAAGAGCAGTGTAAAAAGTGTCCACCAGGTCATTACCAAGATCTAACAGGCCAAGAGCAGTGCAAAAAGTGTCCAGCAGGCAAGTACCAAGATCTAACAGGCCAAGAGCAGTGCAAAAATTGTTCTACAGGGGAGTACCAAGATCTACCAGGCCAAGAGCAGTGCAAAAATTGTTCTACAGGGGAGTACCAAGATCTACCAGGCCAAGAGCAGTGCCAAAATTGTTCTACAGGGGAGTACCAAGATCTATCAGGCCAAGAGCAGTGCAAAAATTGTTCTGCAGGGGAGTACCAAGATCTACCAGGCCAAGAGCAGTGCAAAAAGTGTCCATCTGGGGAGTATCAAGATCAGCCAAGCCAAAAGCTGTGCAAAAAGTGTCCATCTGGGGAGTATCAAGACCTACCAGGCCAAGAGCAGTGCAAAAAGTGTCCAGCAGGCAAGTACCAAGATCTAACAGGCCAAGAGCAGTGCAAAAATTGTTCTACAGGGGAGTACCAAGATCTACCAGGCCAAGAGCAGTGCAAAAATTGTTCTACATCTGGGGAGTACCAAGATCTACCAGGCCAAGAGCAGTGCCAAAATTGTTCTACAGGGGAGTACCAAGATCTATCAGGCCAAGAGCAGTGCAAAAAATGTGCTACAGGAAAGTACCAAGATCAGACAGGCCAAGGGCAGTGCAAAAATTGTTCTACAGGGGAGTACCAAGATCAGCCAGGCCAAAAGCTGTGCAAAAAGTGTCCATCTGGGGAGTATCAAGAACAGACCAGCCAGGAGTACTGTAAAAAGTGTCCTGAAGGTAAAACCACTGAAAACAAGGGAACTGATGATTCTAAAGCATGCATAACTATTGATGTAAAGAGCAAATTTGAATTGTCTCTTAGATTTGCTTCTCTTTCTTGGAGTGAAGAACTTAAAGAGGAAGGGAGCATGAAATACCAAGAGACAAAGGCAGTCATTGAGAAAGCAATCCAATTTGAGTTCCGCTCTGATCCATCATTCGAGAGTGTTGAGGTAACCAACCTAAAGAAAGGCAGTGTCATTGCAGAGTTTGATGTGAGCTTCAATGACAAAGCTGATTACAATCCTGTAAAATTTCTTCAAGAGGCAGTAGATAAAGGTCACGTAGGAAACTTGACAGTTTCTCCACAGTCATTGAATATTCTTCATCAACCATGCCATCAACCTCTAGGCATGGAAAATGGTCAAATCAAGAACAAGCAAATTACAGCATCAACATTCTTCAAACATCATGAGCCATCTGAAGCCAGACTGAATGCAGAAGGAGGGCGGGGCTGGCATGCTAAGTATTTCAAGAAGACGGAGTACTTGCAGATTGACTTTGAGAGTGAGGTCAACATAACAGGTGTGGCCACACAAGGAGTATCCTCTGAAGAATATTTTTATGTGACAGAATACAAGCTTAATATGAGCAAAGATGGAATTGTGTGGCATGAATACACTGAAAATAACAAATCAAAGGTATAATGCTATACACTAAAATGATGCATTTATGTTCAAATTCTTCCTTAGTGCAAAAATATACAGACCTGTTTAAATTAAATTTTGATTCCCTTGTCTGATGACCTCAAATACCATACTCTGAAACAGGAGAAAACTGGTTTGGAAACTTTTAAGCCAAAGAAGAAAGATGAAGCACAATAAATGCAACCAAACTGTCACACCTTTGATGGATGATAAAGCTAACATTAACTTAGTTTAAAACCTTTCCCTTCCTTGACAAATCACACCCTAATGCATAATTGTTTCCTGTTAATACCCTATATTAATGTAAACTGTTTGGGAAATTTGGAATACAGGTAGTGTTACCTCTACAGTATAACTTGTCCTAGATGTTTAAAAGGATGGATTTTGATATTCATTGGATAAATAATTATTGCAAGTTGATATACCTGCCACAAACTCATTGTCCACAGTGGATGTTAGTTATACAAGTCATAATTACACCAGTTTTAAAACAATATTATCTTGTTATTCCTGACAATTAGCAATATTTTTAAGATTATATGGTCGAATCCATCTCCCATAGTTCGTTTTGCTTATATAGGTCCCAATGGAGTACATAGAACATTACAGCTCCTAGGTGCAAACCATTACTAAATAATATTTTGTTTATGATAGGTTTTCAATGGTAATAATGATGCAGAAACTGCTGTGAGAAACGACTTTGCACCATCTGTGCAGTCTCGGTTTATCCGATTTCTGCCTCAAAATTGGAACAAACGCATTTACATGCGTGTTGAGGTCTATGGCTGCAAGCCCATCAACCTGCCTGTTCCATCACCTACAACTGAAGCAGATGTTGCTGCAGTGACAGCAAAAGAGGAAAAGTGGCCATGGGGAGCATATCTTGGCATCCTGTTTGCAATCCTGCTTGTCATTGGAGTTGTGGTTGCTGTCATCTGCTGGAGGAAAAAGAGCCAAGAAAAGAGAGAGGAAGCTGGAACTGATGAAGCTCTGATGGGAATGAGGAAGCATGGTGATGGAGAGTACAGAGTCATCGAGAAAAATGCTGCAGAGCCTGACAAATATGATGAAAATGTAGTTTGAGTCAAATTATCAAAGACACAAAAGTTGATAAAAGAGGCAATATAACTTGTGCCTTTTCAAAGACAAAAATAGTTTAGTCATTATAAAGTTATGTCTGTCAAACTCAACATAGGATCTGTGTTTTTTTCATATCAATATTAACTTTTGATTGTTTCTTAGATAGTGAAGTACCCTGTGTAACAGGTGCTTGACTTGACAGGGTGTAATGGTGATTTAGCTTAAAAGAGTACACAGGCACAAGAGACAGAGTACTGCTTTTCTCACCAAGCTCTAGCTGCTCAATAGGCTAATGTGTAACAAATTATATTACATTTATATTAAATTATGAACATAATTTTTACCATTAACAGCTAATATCTGGAAACTATGCAGAAGACCTCTTGCAGTCAACCAGACATCTTGTTCCAGATACAAGAAACTACGTCAATATTTTGTCTCCTTGGTTACTGGCCCTCCTTGCCTCATTTCAGGGTGAAGATTCTTTCAAATTTCAAAGATGACAAAGAATCACAGTAATAAGAGAATAAGGAAAAAAGTCACCATTTTGGAGTAAGATTTATAATGGCTGTCAACAACCAGTTACAAGGAGACAAAGTAAAGAAAACAACTCAATGATGATGATAATTTTCCCTGAAAATCTAAACATCGTTTTTCATTGCTTAAATGTTTTTCTTGTGGTTTTTAGCATAGAAACTTTTGTTTGTTCTGACTGAAGTTAATTCACATTTCCTATTTTCCATTTCATGTTGCAAAAATAGGGACTTTTCAATTGAAAGGAGTTTGGCATGCCTGTGATCTTACAAGAGGGCAATAAAGTCTAGTGAAAATGACAAAAAAAATGAATAACAAAGTATCATTGTGGTTTCCAGCTTAGATCTTAGGCCATATAAATCATACAATTTGCAAAAGAAGTTTTGGTCCATATTATCCCTTAAATTTGTAGACTGCAATTCCCTGAAATAAATGCTATTTGAGAGTTGGTCAAGATTTAATATTTGTCTACTTAACCCTTAACTCCTGCAAGTGATTAGCATGTAACATCTACACATTATCCAGCCAACATATCATGAGAATACAAAAAGTTATCAAGTAGAAGTTAGTAGTCTTGATCTAAGACCAAATTCTCATGACTTATTAACAAGGCAACGAGTAGCAGCTAGAGGGGAGAATTAAAATCAGATCTTGGGAGTTAAAGGGTTAAATGGAAGAGACAAGTATGTAATGATACTAAGACAGACGTTTTCTTCTCTATTTCACAATTAGATAATTCGTTCTCCATTTCTATCGATAGATGATGCATGCGAAGCCCCAATCAGTTTGAACATAGAAATCGAGAGCGAATAGCATATTTTAATATTTTGGTATAAATGTGGAAGTTGTTCCACACGTAACAACATGTCAGGCATTCTCCTGTCCCAAAAAATTGTTATCTTCCACCAGGTCTGTCAAAGTATCATATTTTAGAGTTATAGCAACTGCTTTCCGAAGATTACTTGAGGTAAAGTTGACTTTTTTGTGACGGAAAGTGAGATTATTTTGAAAGCTAACTTTCTAAGGAAGGAAGTTAACATATTGACGCATTACCTCGAGGAAAATGCTCAACACTGCACGTGTTGTCAACGGATGAATATTATTTGAATGCAAATTTTTTTTTGTTAATTTTTAAATCTATGTGAAACCTCACAGGTAACTGTCTGGCTTAAAATTAAATGAAGTGATCGTTACATACCTCACATTGCTATTGTGTAACTCGCAACGAAACGGACACAATTATTCGTGTTGCGTGACCTACGTGAATTTCGTTTTAAAATTGCGCGACAAGAATGATATCTTGAAAACTGATAATGTTACGAATTATTTGAATGAAGCTTGATGAAAGTGATTTTTTGCATGTTGAGTAAAAGTATTTTTGCCATAAAAAAAGGACTACTTCGATCGGAAAAATAATCAACGAGTCACTTGACGCCTTCCGAGCAAAAATTGTGTAACGTCTGACGGCAGCCATGGGACTGCCGCCTCGTTAATGCCCTGCGTGCCACGTTGTAGTGTCACATGTTCATCAATTTAGCAATCGCTCTGACGCTATCATGGCGACCGGTGAGTTAGCGTGTCGATCCGCACGTTTTGCAGTTTTCCATATTTTTATCTTTATTTTTCTTCTTCAGTGAAAAGCCAGTACGCTGCTCAAATCAAGCCCCTTTCACTTAAATGTGGCGACTATCAATACTTCGATGTCGCTAGTTTAAACGAGGAAAGATACGGTGAGGAATATTCAAATTATTATTGACAACTCGTAGTGCTGAAAAATTTAAAATTTCAAGTTGAGTTTGTATACTCGAATTTGGGAAATTTAGACAAATGATTCAAGGTTACAGAAGTGATATGTATAAAATTTGATTTGTAGTCTTGGCTGAAATATACCAAAAGATTCGCGAACCCTTGAATTTTGAAGATAGCTTAGAGAATAGTTTTGAATGAGTTTGAACTATGACCCTCAGGATTCATGACTACTCATCTGACTATCTTTTGAATAGCATTATCTCTATTGCTTCAACAATTTGTTGTCAAATTTCTAGTTTGGTAGGTAGGTTGATGATTATTTTGATCGCAATTTGTTTGTATTCTGTTCGGCTCACTCTATGCGGAAAATACCAATATTAACTAAGATCCCTCTCTTTTGTTAGAAGTTTTGTGTTGCATGATCATACGATATCGGGGTCTAAATACCCATAACTGCACGAATATCGTACCAGTATTGACTAGTCGGGGTCAAAGTATATGTGACTCTCTGTACGCGTTATTCTTCTCTCGTAAGTAATTGAAGTACACTTTGTACGTAGCTAGATTTACCAATTAACCAATAAGTTTCACAATTCCGTGCGTCTGTTCAGTAATAGGTCACATATGACGTCAAAATGTGGTTAGAACAAAAAAAAAACACACTTGAGGTGGAACCAAGTGCATCACTGATTTTCTTACCACATTTTGACACCTACCATGATCTACTGAACAGAACCACTTTTTGTTTTACATAATAAAAGAAGTAATGTGTTGATGGTACTGATGTCATCAATGTGTCTGCCCTCCAATAGATCATAAATAAAATCCTTGTTAACTGAGTGTATAATTCAGCTTAAGATAAAAATTTCAGCTCTAACGTGGGATTTTGATTTAACAGAAATCAAAGGTTGCATGAAATTTGAGTAGTGGAAGAACAAGTTGACATTTTTTAAAAAATATTTGTTTGATATACCATCCCATAGCTCGCCTACCATATTCAATCAGGGTACTATTGGAATCTGCTGTTCGTAACTGCGATGGCTTCCAAGTGAAGTCCAAGGATGTAGAAAACATTTTGGACTGGGAGAATAACCAGAAACAAAGTGTTGAAATCCCATTTATGCCAGCAAGGGTAATCCTGCAGGACTTCACGTAAGTCATGGAATTTTTCTTTTTGGAATCATGTCTGGTTTTGGAAAAATTTATCTTGTCTTGACCTGTTGGCATTCTTTCTATAATTCAAGCAGATTGTTAAAAGTTAATAGTTTTCAACTTTTCCAAAGGAGACATACTTTTGAAGAGATTGACCGACCTGCTCTGAGTACTAAAGTTAGTAAATAAAGTGTGAGAGACTTACTTTTAGGTTACCTGAGCTATTTTATGCTCAACTGTAGGGCTGTTACACTTTATTTGATAGATTCTACTTTTACTTCACAATAGTCCCTTCTTCTGTACATTTCTTACTGAGAACCCTTTGTTCAGATTTTTACCTTGCTTCAAATAAATGCCCTTCCCCCCTTGCTCTACAAGTTTAATAATACTCTTAAACTACTTTCCTGCTAATAGTGGCACCTTCCCCTCCCCCCTCTCCTACAGTTAAAGATACCACTTGTTATTTACTTTTTGGTGTTTGTGTTTTAGAGGGGTTCCTGCAGTGGTTGATTTTGCTGCTATGCGAGATGCTATTAAAAGACTTGGAGGAGACCCAGCCAAAATTAATCCACTTTGTCCCGTTGACCTGGTGATTGACCATTCTGTACAAGTTGATGTTTCAAGAAGGTATGACTACAATAATTTGTGTAAACAATTAAGTGTTTTGTTAATATTAAAACTAGATCTTAACAAGCTGTATTTTTCAATTCACTAACTGTTAAACCAACTATGTGCCTGGCTTTAAGTGAACAATTAGAAAAAAATACAGGAACATCTTAGGAAAAGCAACAACCCATTGCATTTTAAAAAATCAGAATTAAAAAAAAAAGTGTAATTATGTTGTGGTTAGTTCTTAATCTCAGGGGCAAAAAAAATCAGGAGTTTACTCTTGATTGCCATCTAGCTTTGATTATGATGATAAGGGTTTGGAGAGAAACCAATTAAAGAAATCTTCTCAGCAGAAAACTTGCCCCTTGATATTCAAAATGATCTGCAAGAAATGGGTAACTGTTTTTTTAATAACTTTGTGAGAGTATGAAACAAAGAAAGCAATCAAATCACAGTAGAGAGTTTCAGTCTGGTGGGCAAACCTGATATTAATATAACAATAGAAATAGTGTTGATCACATTGTTTCTGGAGTATGCTGAGTCACCTTGTGTGTAATTTAACATAGGACTGTAACAGCTTTTCTTTCAAAGAGTAATTAATATGTTTCATTGTTTTTATTTTTCTCTGCTTGTATATGTACCGTATTTACCCGTGTATAAGTCGACCTTTTACTGCCTAAAAATCGGTCCAAAAAATCGCCCTCGACTTATACATGGGTCAAAATCTGAGATAAAAAACTTTCAGGACAAATTAGCATAATAATTGTCTGATATGTAAACAAACAATCCACTTTTACACGGTACAAGTTCCGATGTCTTTTCCCTGCACAACTCGAGCAGTCTAAGTTTAAACGCTTTAAGATTCAATAAAGAACTGATAGTTGCAGCCAATAAAGTGGTAAGTCCGCTCGACGAAAGCCACATTTCTCGCTTCGAAGTTTTGCTGCTTAGTAACCTGGCTTTGTATCGTGCGAGCGCGAGGACTTTGTTTAGCACGTGTTCCAATAAAATGCTGGTTGGCAGGGTTTTTGTTTTGGTTGTTACGCGCCTTTACACAACGATAAAGGTTCATTAGAAAGTAGTATGTTTGATTTTGTAAGCTAATTTCAAAAATTGTGAAGAAAATGCTGCTTACACGCTAAAACACGCTAAAACGCTCGTGTACACGCAATAAGAAACTTCACGTCCAAACTTGCTGTGTTTTCTTTCATATAACCATAGTACCTGAAAGAAAATTCTAAGAAATATAAGATTAGTTTTTCAAGGAAATTCTTGCCCAGAAATAAGAAAAACTTATTTTTGGGCTCCAAAATGGGGGGTCGACTTATACACGGGTTCGACTTATACACGGGTAAATACGGTATGTACTTAGACCTAAAAAAACTGAAAACTGGATCACATATTATGCTGTTTTTTTTGGTGTATGTGTGATCCCTTAACCCTTTAACCACTAGGAGTAACTAGCATCTAATTTCTCCTCACAATATCATCCCTAAATCATACAGGTCAAAGTATAATTGACATGATTGACAAGTACAGGAGCTCTTTATTTCCGGCAAATTCTCCTAGTCAACACCTCTGGAAACATATACAACAGTATAAAGAATATGCATATGATTTTAGAGTGTAAAGGATTAAAGAGCTAGTTGTCCTTTACCCATAACAACAGAGGGTCAAATGAAGTCTTCAAAACTTGATTTCAAGTTTCTTTATGCAACAAATCAGAATCTCTGATGTTGTTCTTTCAGTCAGAGTTGTTTGTTTGATCCAGGGGGCAACTGGCTTAAGAAGGACAATCCATGTCCATTTCATTTGATGCCCACTGACTGGTGCGAGGCCACTCTCTCTCCTTTTTTTTCTTTGTGCAAAACAAACTGAGTAACATTTGAGTGTTTGAGTGTTGTTAGAAGGTTTACCTTTCTCCAACAAATGTTTCTGTTACAGCTGAATTTAATGTTGATTGCAGGTAAATTTCACTTCCTATTGTAGTGTAAGTCTGTTCTTAATTTCCTTGTCCTCTAGCCCTAATTTTAAATAAATAGGCTAAGGAGGCAATGGAAATTAAGGATCACCTTTGAGAATTTTTTTTTTACCTGCATACACATCATTAAGACTAAAGGTGGCAGTGTTCTTTGGACTTGAGACTCTGTGAACTTTGTTAAGTCAGATGGTTGGAAATGATTTTTATAATTCTAGATCAAATTCAGATGTTGAAAGATTTGATAAGTGGCCATAAATTCCAAAGTGAAAAAAAATTTGCACAACATGCATGTTAACTGGGAATCCAGAAATATATTCAAAAGAAAAAAGCTATAGTTTTTCTCCCCTGGATCATTTAGGTGTACTTTTACAGCTATTATAGGTGATACTTAATATCGTGAAATGTCTGTACTTTTTCTTTCTCTAGCTCTACAGCCCTGCAGAAGAATCAAGAAATGGAATTTAACAGGAACAAAGAAAGGTTTCTTTTTCTGAAGGTAATAAAAATTTTAGGTTACCGTAATATTCCACTAAATTTTTTGCTTTATGTATAGTACACTACTCTTCATGGATTACTCCAAGGAAAGATTTTCAGTGTGGCACTCTGTTACTTTGGGCATTAGAGCCTATGCACTGTCTATAATAAGTGTACCATTTGGCCACAAAGTGTCGTGATAGCTTTGTGAATATTTCCTTTCTTCATTACTTTCTTTGTTTTATTTTCAGTGGGGATCAAAAGCTTTCAAGAACATGACAATTGTTCCACCTGGTTCAGGCATAGTTCACCAGGTATGTCTTATCAAAGCATGCTTCTTAATTGAAATCAGTGTTGTGCAGTTAATTGAACTTATAACAAGCAACTGATAATTGCTGCAGTGATTTTGTAACATTAACCAGTATAAATTAGCCGTATATGCACTATAGAAGCCAGTAAGCATTCAAGTCTGTGGCAATTCAGCTAAATTCTAACTAGAGTACACTCACCCTTGATCAAAAACCTGACTACTCATGCTCTCAATTTGTAAGCTATGGGAATTTTTTTTTACTCTTGTGAATTGATTACTTTTAAATCATGCAACTGCTCTGGTTTCTGTTTCAGGTCAACTTGGAATATCTTGCCCGTGTTGTCTTCAACATGGAAAAATTTTTATATCCTGACAGTGTTGTTGGAACTGATTCACATACAACAATGATCAATGGACTTGGAATTGTGGGATGGGGTGAGACGTTTTTCCTTGAGTATGCCTTGTGTTTCAGTTTTTTTCTTACAAAGTTAGAAAGAGAAAGAAGGGAAAAAGTCGTATTAAGTACTTTCAAATTGTTACCTCAAACCCTGAGTTTTTGTTTGTTCTTAAACCCTTTACACCCTAATGTCAGTATGCATATTCTCCATACTGTTCTCTATAAATTTCCTTGGGTGCTAACAAGAAGAATTTGTTCAACAATCCTGAGTTTCTTTTGGTGACAGTTTCCTTTATTCTCAAGACCTTTATGAGTGATTTGAGAGTGTTATTGTAAGGAGAAATAGTATGCTAGTCACTCTTAGGTGTCAAAGGGTTAAGGGATCTTGGGTTAGCTGAAAAAAATTAACTGCAGAAGTGAAGCTTTTTACAATTTTGCCACATGTACCCTTTAAGTAAGTCATACCTACAAGATTTATGTAGACACTTGAAGGCTGTTAGTAACTCTATTTTCTGTAAATAATCATGCAAGAAATTAAATAATATTTAACAGTGAGCTCTAGGTAGGAAGTGCTGCTCAAGTAAGAATACTTTAATTTACAATTTTCTCATTTGGAATAATTCATGTCAGGTGTT